TGCTGTCTTAATCATAAACAACAATGTACACTATCTTTTACTATGGTAATAAAGTGGGAGCAGGATTTTCCTTAATTGTCCTGCTAAGTAAGAGATGTACTGTCTCTTATAAAAATACACGTTGCAACACCGCTGCAAGGAGCAGAGGTCATTTGACTACGTGGCATAGCATCTGTGATCAATTACTCACTCTAGCAGTAAACAAGACGCTCGCCCCTTCTGAGTGGCCCCTCAGGGCTGAAGGGGGCTGATCCCCCCTCCTGGAGAAAATTTCTCCACAGTGGTTGTAGGGGTTGAGACTCAGCTCCTGGCCCCACCTCTTCACTGACCACTACTGGGTCCTCCCTCTCCTTGCTCCATGAGCTTTATCATACCTTGTCTTAAAACTATGTATAGTTCCTGCATCCACTACATTGCTTGCCAGTTTTTTCCACTTCTTAACAACTCTGTGGCTGAAGAAATACTTCCTAACATTCCTTTGATTTATGTGAGTCTTCAGCTTCCAATTGTGACCCCTTGTTTCTGTGTCCCATCTCTGGAACATCCTGACTCTGTTTACCTTGTCTATTCCACGCAGTATTTTGTATGTCGTTATGTCTTCCCTGACCCTCCTGTCCTCCAGTGTTGTCAGACCGATTTCTCTTAACCTTTCTTCATAGGACATTCCCCTTAGCTCTGAAACCAGCCTTGTTGCAAACCTTTGCACTTTCTCTAATTTCTTGATGTGTTTGACCAGGTGTGGGTTCCAAACTGGTGCTGCATACTCCAGGATGGGCCTGATGTACACAGTGTATAAAGTCTAGAATGATTCCTTACTCAGGTACTGGAACGCTATTCTCAGGTTTGCCAGGTCCCCATTTCCCGCGCTTTTTTTTTATCTGGTTAATGTGTGCTTCTGGTAATTTTCCCCTTTGAGTGGGTTTTGTGGTCTTTGGCCTCTTACCCTTTTACCGTCTGCGGTCTCTTTGACTTCTCGGGATGTTTCGAATTATACACACCCCAAAGATCCTTTTTCTCCAGTGTGTTTGTAGTTGTTGGGCCCCCTAGATTGTCTCTGTCTGCAGCCCTTGGCCTTCCCGGGGATCTTTATTACTTTGACTTAGTGGGGTTGAACCCCAGGGGACGTGCTGGTCCAGGCTTCCCAGCTTGTCCAGATCCCTCTTTGACTGAATTCTCCTCATTAAGTTTACCTTTTTCTGAAACAGGGACATTCAAAGCTTTTCCTTCTGTCATGTCTTCAAATACCAATAACAGCACCAGTCCTAGGTGACCCTTGTGGAACCCTGCTCATCACATGCCCCACTCTGCACCTCTTCATGTATTTGACCACCTGCTGCCTTTCCAGAGGTATTCTCTGACCCATTGGTGTTCCCTGTTATACCTCCCTGACCCTTCGCTTTTGTATGGTGTCTTTGTGGAACTGTGTAAAAAACCTTACACCCAAGATAAGAAATATGAAAGTTAAGAACATGGGGCAACATTGGATACCTTTATTGTAGTAGGTTTTGCCTCCAGTGGTTTACAATAAGTTTTTAGGAATAATAGGAAGACAGTAGAACTTATACAAAAGGAGGTAATCAGCCCTCGGCCTTGGGTTGTGTTCCCAGCATCGTGGTGGAGGAAAAACTGGAGCAAAAACAAGAAGACTGGGGGGTTTATATAGGCGTCAGTGGATAGGCGGGCAGCAGACGAGGGCAAAGTCACTGGTAGGGGGGATTCCCCAGTGGAAAAAAGGGGGCCTTCCCAAAAAGATGGGTTAGTTGCCCCGCGCCGTTTAAAAGGGTTTTTAGTGTCCTCGAACCAAGATCCCCTGATGTTGCAGTGTCTGAAAGTTGTGCAAGAAAGGTTAAAATACCCCACAAAATGAAAATTAAGCACTGTGCAACATTGGATACCCTTTTTTGTTTGTAGAGTTTCGCCACCGTGGCTTTATCAATAAGATTTTGGAAATAAAAGGGAAAACAGTAGAACCTATATACAAAAGATGAGGTAATCAGTCCTCGGCCTTGGAGTTTGGGTTTCCAGCATCGTGGGGGGAGGAGAATCTGGAGCAAAAAACAAAAAGACTGTCTTCCTTTATGTCCTAGAATCTGTATTATAAAACCACTGGTGGCGAAACGTCTACTACAATAAGGTATCCAGATGTTGCCCTGTGTCTTAACTTTTATTTTCGGGTTTTTTTACCTTTCTTTACATAAAAAAATTACCACCTTCTTTTCTTTCTGCTGTACCCCCTTTTCATAGAATTTTGTAGGTTTTTGGAGATGGATTTCCATCTCTGAATCCATGCCAGTTGTTGTTTATAAACCATTCCTTTTTAGGTGTCCATCACTTTCTGTAATCTTCTCCATGATTTGTATACAATCATGTCTGTGACATGGTCTGTGGGGTTTTTGTGGTGTGTGTCCCCCTTTTTTTAAAAAAGGGACTACATTTGCTGTCTTCTGTACCTCAGGTAGTCCCTGCTTTAAAACCCTTTTAGGGTCAAAGCCAAAATCTGAAGGGGTTGCCCAGTGCCAAGAAAAATTTTTAAAAAAAAAAAAAAACAAAAAAAAAAATTTTTACAGAATTAAAGATAATATTTTTGTGAAGGTAATAAAACAAAAAAAAGTTTTTCTGATGAGTACTTACTGAGATACAGCGGCGGGAAGTTGACCCAAAATGACCGGGTGGCGGCAACATCAGTGACTTCCGCAAAATCGCATTTTTTTATTTTACGTTTTTTATACTGTTTTCTTTTCTAATTTTTTTTCTTTTTCTAGTAACATTTGTGGCCTGTGAGACCAGTATAATGTATATTGTATAAGTGTACACTCATTGTATTCAACACAATAACTGCACTAATTTGTTTATCATTATATTGCTTACAAAACTTGTTTACAAGTTTATTGTAAACAAAATGATGAAAATAATAGTGTGGTTATTGTGTTGAATACAACGGTACCATATGGTACAATGGTGCCATAGGGTGCAATGGTACCATATAGTACAATTGTACCATATGGTACAATATGGTACAATGGCACCATTTGGTACAGTGGTACCATATGATACAATGGTACCATATGGTACATTGTTCCATACAGTACAATGATACCATATATTTCATTGTACCATATGGTACTATATGGTACTGTTATATTCAACACAATAAACACACTTATATTTTCATCATTATTTAATTTACAATAATTGTTTACAACAAAAATATGCAAAAATGTTGTATATTAGTAATGTTCTATTGTATATTTACAAATGTACAGAAACTTGACGTGTTCCTTGAGGTGGATGACAGAGCGCTTTGTCTTGGAAACTGCTGAGTCAGTAGCTAGCTTGGGTCGCCACTCACTCAGTCTTGGCTGGTGTCTCATGCCACCAACACCTATTGACCATATGGTACACGGTATCATATGTTACAGGGTTCCATATGGTACATTGTACTATATGGTATAGGGTACCATGCAGTACAGGATAACATATGGTGCAGGGGTACCATATGGCACAGGGTACCATATGGCACAGGGTACCATACAGTACAGGATACCATATAGTACAGATACAAGGATCCCTATGGAAATAAGTCACCCTGACTTTTTTGAGATATCCTAGGATTTTATACATATGCTGCTATGTATAATAATCCATGTAATTGTATTTGTGTACACTGAATAAACTTACTCAAGTGCATGTGGCATCGTAAGTAAGTTTATTTAGGTATACACAAATAAAGTTACATAGAATATCATACTTAGCAGCATATGTTGGGAGAACCTAGGATAACCCAAAAAAGTCAGACAGACTTATTTGCATTAGGGTCCCTGTACCCTGTACTATATGGTACAGTGTACCATATGGCACATTGTACCATATGATACCATTGTATGACATGGCACCAATGTACCATAGAATTCCTCTTCAGCTCCACTTCCATCAGTCTTAGAACTGTAAGTTGTGAAGAGGAGAGTCAGAATTCACGAGGAGAGTCAGAATTCACGTGGAGAGTGAGTGGGGAGTGAAAGCTTCCTTGCTGCCAGGCAGGATAAACGAAGCTACTTTGGCGGCGTTCCCCCAATGTCATGCGGGCGTCCAGATTTTTCTATAGTGTTCACACTGACCACCCAGACCCATTCTCTCAGATGTAGGGCTACTAGCCTTCTCGCGCTAAATTTGACGCTGCTAGAATTTTGGCATAGATCTACGATTTGAACCCTCAGCATAAAGCCGTAGATATATGGCACAGACCCTGAAAAGCTTAATGGATATGTTTGAAAATTGTTGTTAGTGGTACACAGAGTGCCTCTGCTCCCTCTCTTAGGACCCACGGAGAGATGTTCACTCTCACTGTGTGTGTGTGTGTGTGTGTGTGTGTGTGTGTGTGTGTGTGTGTGTGTGTTTGTGTTTGATTGATCTTGTTTCAAGCTTGATAAAATGGCTAGTCAAACTCAAAATACTTCAGCAAGCATTTGGTGACAAAGCAATTAGTCAGATAGTGTTTTGAATTTTTTTCTGGATTTAAAGCAGGAGAATTGTCAGTTGAGGATGGAAAACACACTGGTTGTCTATCAGTGTCAAAATCCAACACCAGCATTGAAAAAGTGAGGAAGGGTATTCACGAAGATCATTGTCAGAATATCCAAGACACTGCAAGTGCTGTGGGAATTTCCTGCGAATCATGTGAAAGCATTTAGACTGAAAATTTGAACATGAGGCAGGCTTTGCTAAACACCATTAGGAAAGAATAGTTCCAGAAATGTTTCAAGAAATGGCAGAGGTGCTGGGATAATTGTATTGCCTCTCAAGGACAGTACTTCTTGGGAGACAACCTCAGGTAGCTAATTAGTTAAGCCAATACATTTTTTTTTTGTGACAGTGCAGGAAGCTTTTGATAGCACCTTGTATTTACAGAAGCTACCATGAGGTCCTGCTATACATTTTTTAACATACATTTGTCAAGTTGCATTACCATGACTAACAGTAACACATTTCTTCTTATTCACCAGAGAACAACAGATGCTCTTAAATCTCCATAAGAAGTCATGGATGGAAGGCTTAACATTGCAGAATTACAATGAACATAGCAGCCTTAATGAAGACACTGTTAAAGAGATTCTTAACTTAGCAACAGCATATAATAAGGTGAGTTACTCTTACATTACACACACATTTCTCATTTGACACACCACTTAAAACACTACAAAAAATAGGTCCAAAATAAATTGCTCATTAAGGCTTTTAAAGAAATGCTCTCACTGTATGGTTTTAAATTTGGTATATTATAAGGATCATTATATATATTTAGAGAGCACAGTGAGTATTGTGGAGGTGCCTCTATCTACCTGGCAATATATGAAACTTGTATTTTAATTATGTTCAATCTACCTTACCTTTGACATACTTTTGAAAAGTTTTGAAAGTTAATCTACTCTGAGCCCAGCCATGGGCCAGGCTTGTCTGGTGCTTGCCTGGTCAACCAAGCTGTTGCTGCTGGAGGCCTGCTGCCCCACATATCCATCACAGCCTGGTTGATCTGGCACCTGGTGAAGATATTTGTCCAGTTTCCTCTTAACCCTTTCAGGGTCGACAGGCCCTCTCCCAGACTTGTTCTCAAAGTCGACACATTAAAAAAAAAAATTTCTTGTGAAAAGATAGAGAATCTTTTCCCGATCATAATGACACCAAAAGTATGAAATTTGATGGAAAACTTACGGAATTATGCTCTCGTGAAGTTAGCGGTCTCAACGATGTTTACGTATCGGCGATTTTGCCCACTTTGAGCCCTGTTTTCGGCCAATTCCAGTGTACTAGTCGACAAAAATCGTAACTATTTCACTAGAACTCCATTTTTTCTATCAAATGAGTACAAGAAACCACCCATTTACTGATTTCAACTATCCAATAAAGTGGTCAGAATTTAGTAATTTTGCCAATTTCACACAAATTTCAAAAGATGCCAGTTTCCAAATAGGGTCCAGAATAAACAAGAAAGACATTCCTGGCACTAAAATAACAAGTTCTCCGTTCGTTAGTCACATCCCCAGGCCCCCTCTTATATTTCTTTGGCTTTCCACTTTGAATTTTTATTCTTACAAAAAAATAAGATTTACTGTTATGCAGACTACTGCATTAGTATAGAAATGGTATAAATAATATCAGCTCACTTGTGAAAGAATATTAGACTAACCAGTTGATGTGTATTGGACGCTTGGCATGATTTGTTTACTTTTGAACTTTGGTAAAAATCGAACATTTCTGCTACTTTGAGCTCAATTTCAAGGTACTTTTCATTGTAAAACCAGTCAAAATCATCTCAATTTCTGTAATATGTCTTCCATTCTATAAAATGAGACCAAGAAAACTAGAATACAACAATAAATACCATACGAAAATACAGTGCAAAGTCGCTGTTTTAATCCAAAAACACAAAGTTTTTTTTTTCTCATTACGCACTGTGTGCTGCAGGTTTTTTTTAATACTGTGCACACTGACCACGTAGACCCATTCTTACATATGTAGGCCTACCAGCTTTCTCTCACTAGATTTGAGGGCGCTAGAATTTAGGCATACTAGTACGTCAAAAACTCTGAGTCGTAAGACGTACTAGTATGTCCGAAACTCCAAAGGGTTAACACACTATGGTATAAGAGGGCACTCCCTCAATTACCTAAAGTCATATCTTAGTAACAGAAGCCAATATGTGTACACAAATGGAGCTAACTCTTCCACACAACCAATTACAGTTGGGGTCCCACAAGAAAGTGTCCTTGGCCCTATCCTCTTTCTCATTTACATCAATGACCTACAGAATGCATCACAACTACTCAAAACAATATTTTTTGCAGATGACACAACATACATCTTCTCTCACCTAAACCTGTACTGGCTAATACTGTTAACCCTTTCAGGGTCCGTCCCATAGATCTACGGCTTTATGTTCAGGGTCCAAAACCGTAGATCTATGCCAAAACTCTAGGAGCGTCAAATTTAGCGTGAGAAGGCTGGTAGGCCTACATCTGAGAGAATGGGTCTGGGTGGTCAGTGTTCACACCATAGAAAAAATGTGGACACCCGCATGGCATTGTGGGAACGCCAGCAAAGTAGCTTTGTTCATTGTGCCTGGCGGCAAGGAAGCTCTCACTCTCCTCTTCACAACTTACAGTTCTAAGACTGATGGAAGTGGAGCTGAAGACAAATTCTATGGTTTTGAACCATATGGTACCATCGTGCCATGTGGTACAATGGTACCATATGGTACAATGGTGCCAGTCATACAATGGTATCATATGGTACAATGTACCATATAGTACATTGTACCATATGGTACATTATACCATATGGTACAGGGTACAGGGACCCTAATGGAAATAAGTCTGTCTGACTTTTTTGGGTTATTCTAGGTTCTCCAAACATATGCTGCTAAGTATGATATTCTATGTAACTTTATTTGTGTATAACTAAATAAACTTACTTATGATGCCACATGCACTTTAAGTTTATTCAGGTGTACAGTAATACAATTACTTAGATTATCATACATAGCAGCATACGTGTAAAATCCTAGGATAACCCCAAAAAAGTCAGGGTGACTTATTTCCATAGTTATCCCTGTATCTGTACCATACGGTGTCCTGTACTGTATGGTACCCTGTGCCATATGGTACCCTGTAGTATATGGTACCCTGCACCATATGTTATCCTGTACTGCATGGTACCCTATACCATATAGTACAATGTACCATATGGTACCCTGTAACATATACCTGTACCATATGGTCAATGGGTGTTGGTGGCATGAGACACCAGCCAAGACTGAGTGAGTGGTGACACAAGCTAGCTACTGACTCCGTGCCTCTTCAAGAGGGGCTTCTTGGCGTGGTGAACAGGCCCTTTTTGGGTCTGAGGAAAATAGACCTGTCGGTCTCCTTCCTCAGACCGAACCTAATTACCCCCCAATCCCCCCTTCCCTATCCTATCCTCCGCATCCTCCTCTTTTTCCTTTTCTTCTCCTCCTCCCCCCCCCTCCCTTTTGCCCTTCCTTTTTTTGGGCCCTTTTGGGATTTTTCCCACAGGCACACTAGTTCATAGGTGGGGGGAAGGTTACCGGGGTCCACCCCATTCCTTTGAGGTTCTTGGCTGTGGCGTAGTTTGCCATGGGATCTGGACCGCCTGGGGATGCCCCGATCCCTCTCCGGTATCCCAGGGGGTTTGGCTTTGGGTGTCTTTGGGCGGGGGGTGTATCTCTGGAAGCCACCTTTCGGATTCGGGGGAGGGCCAAAGGAGGTAGTTTTTGTGGTGGATATCCGGCCGCCCTCTTTTTTGTCCACCGAGGTAAGCTCGGCAGATGTGAGGTTGCTATCCCGGATTGCTGGTTTACTGGCATGAAGGGTAGGGTATGGCACGAGTTCCATGCGCATCTGCGCTATTTTGCAGTGCTGAGGTCCTCTTGGGCACGGAGGGAGATGTCTGGCCCTTTTATTCCTCCTAGAACTATCCTCCCCGGTCCCCCCTTTTTGTTTATTTTTTTTTATTTTATTTTATTTTTTTTTCTTTTTTTTCTTAAAACAAAAAGAAAGAAGAAACCTAACCATGGAGTCCCAAATCCATGACCCCGCTACCCCCCGGGGCCCCTTATTGTTACCGCACCCTGTTCTGACACTCGCCTCGTCTTTTGGCCAATGTTTGGACACTCCTAAGGCCCCTGTACCTCTTGCTGGTGCTGTTTCCTCACCCGCTCGGGTACCGGGGCTTCCACCGACTCCTTTTATTTGTTGACCTCCGCTCTCCTTTGACTATGCTTCCGGCTTCTCCATCTACGGTGCGGCGATTTTCGAATCGCCAGTCCGTCCCACGTCGGACCGACTCTGGTCCACATCTAAATGTCAACGAAAATCTTCTGATGATGTTACTTCATTACCCTTTCCCTTCTACTCGGAAAGACCGACACGTCATGCACTCCCTCTCCACACTCAGTTTCGAACCACACAATGGACTAAATTCTATACATTAAGACCACTTCTTCTACTTCCTATCTTTCGATCATATTACGTATTGGCAAAGCACTCCTACGCCACGTTGGTAGAGATATTTCCTTTCATGCTCTTTAAGAGTGGTACGTGCATCATCACGTCCAGAATTCTACCCAAGCTCATGATCTTTCTCTTCTTTCACATATCGATACTATTCCTTCACTATCGAAAAACATCTTTCCCTCAAATTTTTGTAGTGGTACTGTTATTCTGCCCCATACCATAGTCCAACAGAATTTCCAGACATGTGGCACTGACATTCTCGACAGCTGGATCTCCAAGATCTCCCAATTCTCAAGGTGGACACTTATGTTCTTCCTGCCCGTGGCGAAGACGACCTTGCAATGTGGCTCATTTAACTTTTGACAGCTGTGAACTCCCATCCTTTTTTTGTAGCAGGACATCGGTGCTGTTGCTGTTTCCTCTCCTGCTTCAGGTACCCGGGGCTTCCACTGACTCCTTTGATTTGTCTGACTTCCGCTCTCCTTTGAATATGCTTCCGGCTTCTCCCTCTACGGTGCAGCGATTTCGAATCGCCAGTCTGTCCCATGTTGGACCGGGCTCTGGTCCCAACCTAAAACGTCAACGACAATCTTCTGATGATGTTACTTCATTACCCCTTTCCCATTCTACTCGGAAAAGACCAACACGTCATGCACTCCCTCTCCACAAATCATTTCGGACCACACAATGGACTAAATTCTTTACATTAAGACCGACTTCTTCTACTGCCTATTTTTCCGATCATAGAAGTATTGGCAAAGCGCTCCTACGCCACTTGGTAGAGATATTTTCCCTTTTATGCTCTTAAGAGTGGTACGCGCTCATCACAGTCCAGAATTCTACCCCAACTCATGATCTTTTTTTTCTTTCACATATCGATACTATTCCTAAACACTATCGAAAAACATCTTTCCTCATTCTTGTAGTGGTACTGTTATTCTGCCCCATACCTAGTCCAACAGAATTTCCAGACATTTTGGCACTGACATTCTCGAACAGCTGGAACTCCAAGATCTCCCAATTTCAAGGTGGACACTTATGGGTTTTTCCTGCCCGCAGGCGAAGACGATACCCTTGCAATGTGGCTCTTTAACTTTTGACAGCCGTGAA